CAGGAGGAGGCTTTTTAATTTATTTTATTCAGTGTATTTGCTGTTCTATTCAAGCACCATCTGTCTTACAGGTAGCTAACTTTGTGGTAGCTCCTAAGTCAGCTGGGCGAGGCCCCCAGGGCTCCTGGAAGGACCACAGTAAATTAGGTGACACCTCCAAGGCCTAACATGGGCAGCCTGCAGCAGCTCTGCCTTGCAGGCAGGCCTCCCCAGCAGGGAGTGTTGGTCCCCTAGAGCTGTCACTTTTCTAGAGCCTCCCTTCTCCCTTTGCTTGCAGTCGCAATGGGCCTTTCCTCCTTCATCATCTTCTGTGTCTCTGCGTCCCCTGCTTGTTTTCGGCTCTCTTCTATGAGTCCTTTGGTATAATGAGATAATGTCGATGATCTTGAATATAATCACATATGGCTGCTGGATCCATGCACAAGTTTAAATCAAATTAGAAAGTAAATTCACTGCCAAGAATGCTTAAAAGTCATAGGGCCAACTGATTAACCACTGACAAGTCAGTTTCCGACTCTGTTTTCTAAACTGTAAGTGATTCATATGAGGGGACTAAAAGGGAATCACTCCCCAGACTGAACACTGCAGACAGAACCAAACAGCCTACTTAGGATACGACGGCCATCAGAAAATGCAAGTCAGCTGAGACCGTATTCATTACCAAATAAGCACGCAGACACAGAAAATCAGCTTGATGGTTGAGACCATCCTCTAAGTGGACAGATAATTTCTGTTTTCCCCTCTCCCAGATGCCATTCTCCCCAAGACTCCTATTTCCTCACCAGCCGGCTCCAACCTTCCTAGCCAGATGTTAGAGCCCCCAGGCGCTAGGTTGCAGACCCCTGACCCTGCTCCAAGCTGTCAGGCCCTGCCCAAACTCCCCCAGGACCCACTGACCTCACCCCGAATCCCCTCCCTCCTGGCCCCCACCAAGGTTTCAGCCTCCCCCAGCCAGGGCCACCTCTCAACAAGAGGTGAGAGTGTGACACCCAGTTTCAAACAAAACACAGGCCAGAGTGTGTCTCTGGAGGCCCTGACCCTCTCGCAATAGAGTGCGGGGAACTGCGTCTAGGCAAAGCTGGCCAAATGCTTCAATGTCTGTTCTCCACAAGGAGAAGAGCGAGCCATTTCATGACATTTAAAAGCCATTTTCTTGAAGTTGTTTCCCCCGGGTGAGGCAGGAGATCAATGATGCCATTATTTGTAGTCACCCAAAACTAAGAACAAGCCAAGAGGCCGGGCACAGTGGCTCACGCCTGTAATGCCAGCACTTTGGGAGGCAAAGGTGGGCAGATCACCTGAGGTCAGGAGTTCGAGACCAGCCTGGCCAACATGGAGAAACCCAGTATTTACTAAAAACACAAAATTAGCCTGGTGGGGTGGTGGGCGCCTGTAATCCCAGCTACTTGAGAGGATGAGGCAGGAGAATCGCTTGAACCCAGGAGGCGGAGGTTGCAGTGAGCCAAGACCATGCCATTGCACTCCAGCCTGGGTGACAAGAACAAAACTCATCTCAAAAGAAACACAGCCGGGCGCAGTGGCTCACACCTGTAATCCCAGCACTTTAAAAGGAGGCTGAGGTGGGCGGATCATCGGAGGTCAGGAGTTCGAGACCAGTCTGGCCAACACGGTGAAACTCTGTTTCTACTAAAAATACCAAAAAATTAGCTGGGCATGGTGGTGGGTGCCTGTAAACCCAACTACTTGGGAGCCTGAGGCAGGAGAATCACTTGAACCTGGGAGGCAGAGGTTGTAGTGAGCAGAGATAGCACCACTGTACTCCAGTCCAGTCTAGGTGACGGAGCGAGACTCCGTCTCAAAAAACAAAACAAAGCACAAGCCAAGCCATGAGCCGAGAGCTGTAGCCAGTGGCCTGAGCCCTGCCCACCGCAGACGGGCCCGGGGAGGGGAGCGGGAAGGGTGGCAGGTCTCGTGGCCAAAAGCATCCATGTGGCAGCTACCACTACCAGGGGCTCCCTCTGCCAGCCATGTCGTTTTGAGTGTTTCAGAATTCAAGCAGAAACAAGGTAGAATAATGAAGCCTGCTAACAGGCTAGATACTTGCTGTCGGAGGCCACAGGCCAGCCTGAGCCCCACCACCAGGGGCAGCAGGGCTCAGGACCCAGGACAGGGAGTGAAGGAAAGGGATGGACTTTGCTTTGGAACCGCTGCCCGACCCATTCTCTTCTGGGTATTAAGTGGACAGAGATGTTTAGAGTTAGACATGCAAAATTAAGTTAAGCTTAACTCATCCAGGCTGAGAAAATGGAAGCCTTTAGTTAGACCATCTCTAACCCGGACATGAGGGCAGCTGTAACCTCGGCTGCCCAGGATCTGGACCTGCAGGCCACTCCGGGAACACAGACAGGCTGGCTGAGCACTCCAGAGCCCGCAGGCGGCACCTCCTCCAAAATACCTGCTTGAACCTACAGCAGCCTCGCTTCCATCACGGCTCAGCAGAAGCCTAACTCACAAGCTGGTTCCGTGACAAAAAGGCATTGCAGGGGCTGAAGCCCACTGACAGCCCCTACCTAGAGGTGAAGGCCAGGCTCAGCCAGAAAAAGCGGGCTCTGGGTTTAGATATTCCGCAGAGCGCTTCCAAACCTGGATCCCTGCCTCCTCTCTGACCACTAGTATTTGCAACTGAAAGCCAACATTCCCTCTACCAAATTTCTTTTGTCATGTTCATATTAAAATAACTCCAAGTGTAATATTTGAATCTGAAAGGCCGCTTCAGAGATGAGCCAGATGGGCCAGTATCAGATAGCACAGGATGGGCAAATCACTGCTGTTGCTTCAGGCAAAAGAAGAAAGACCTGCTAGTTTTTCTGAGGATTTTTTGAGGTTTGGGGTTTTTTTAATGCATTTTGTGAAAATTTTGCAACTCACTTGGCATAACCAGATTTTTAAAGCCCTGGAAGAGGCTTCTAAGCATCGGTGATCCACGTTAAGATCTAAGTGTGCTGTAAAGCAGGCAGATGGGGAGTTAAAAGGCAAAGCCCACGTTCTCCTGACCTAGTCCAGAGCCCAAAGGAAGCTGCCGTGTGCTTCAGCTTCCATGGAAGACTCCCCACAACCTGAGGTCTGACCGAGCTCTTGGCTTTAGAGGCCAAAGATTCACGCATGCCAGGAGTCACGGTCCCTCCCCCTCCTATGTGGCAAGAGCCTAGTCACCTGCTAGGAGACCTAGTGGCCCAGTGGCCCTGACCTTTGGCTGGCCAGGCCTAAAGCAGATGCCGCTGGGGCCCTCCCTGGGGACCTGCCCACAGGGCTGGGTTCTGAGCTGGGTCTGGTGGAGGATGAGGGGGTCATCCTGAAAGCAGAGGACAGGGGAGTGGCGCTGGTCCTACAGCTGCTGCTCTGCAGGCCTCTGCCTTCCCTGAACCTCTCCCAGGACCCTCTGAAGATGAGGGAGAAAGGAAACACCCTCACATGTCCAGCCTGTGTGCCCCAGGGCCTGTGGGGCATCCCGCCTGCACTCAGCACGCCCATAGCCCGTGAAGCCAGGCGTGCACCATGCCCACTGTGCAGAGGGGAAACTGAGGCTGGAAAAAGGCTTAAGTTACTTGTCCGAAGCGGGGTGGGGGCTTCAGCACAGTGACACAGACTGGAATAATTCTCTGTTCTTTCCAGCTCCAAACACTTCGAAGGTTTTCAAAATGTAGTGTCCTCCAGAATCACCCCACCAGCTTGGCGAAATTCGGGTTCCAGGACCCTGCCGTGGAGCACGCCAGGTGAGGCCTCGCCTCCTAGCTTAGCAGTGGCAGTGCGGCTGTGGCTAGGACTTTGAGCGGCCTGCTCTCCCCACGGTCCCGGTGAGCAGTCCCAGAAGCCTGGGGACACAGAGGCGTTTCCACCTCCAGGCCTTAGCTCCCTGGCGCCTGGCTGTGCTCATTTACTGCCTGTGAACACATGTTTTGCAGAGGGATTTTGGACTGAGTGGGAAAAGTCAGTACTTACAGGTTCCTTGAGCACAGGGTCATTTTGTAAGGAGAATGAGACTCCTCTTCGTTTCCATTTCCAGATGCATTTTTCCTATTCATCACTCCAAGCGTGTACTGCCTGAAGTCCCCAGGGCACTCACAGAGCACCTGGGTGTAATCCTAATGAAAGGCGGAGGCCTTGGTCAGCCCAGGACCGCCTCATTATCCTAACAAACTGCTTGATGGGGCAAAATGCACAGCCTCTCTAACAGGCAGAGAAGCGATTTAGAAAACAAGAGGTTTCATACCGTGTTCAAAACTCACCGGACACTTTCCTTCCTCCCTTTTCCCTGCTGGTGGCCCTGGATCTCACCTGAATGGGGAAAGCCTGGGCTGTGGAGTCAGGCTCAGGTTCCATTTGTGGTGTCCCTACCTACCAGCTGTAATGCTTGTCTGGGCCTTGGTTTCCCTATCTAAAACATGGAGACAATAATGTCAGCACCGCCGGCTTGTTCAAGGGTAAAGGGAATTAATGCATGCTGTGTGACACTGCCGGGTGCTCTGCAAACACTCCAGATAGTAGCCCAGTAATCAGCTAATTTAGGACAAGATGCCTGCATTCCATTCAAGACGACTTTGCTAATTGAGAACACCTCTTTCCTCAACCAATTCAAACCATACACGACCTTCAGAGGCAGCTCAAGGCCACCCTCCTCCAAAAAGCCTGTTCTGCCGGCCACGGCCGTCCTCCCGCTTCTCCCTGCTCTCGCACCCTCCGCAGCCTGCACGGCGCAGCTTGGCACTTGGTGTGGTTCGTTCATTCGCGGGCCTGGGTCTGTTCACCTGCACGGACTTTAACCCCCTCACCAGGACGAGCGCATGGCTCCGCTTCTCTGGGTCCTGCACTGCCCAGCACAGTCGTCAGGACCTCCCTCCCAGCTTACTGCTAACCGATGTGATCCGTGGGAAAGCCGGCCTGTTGAGCTGCATAGAAGACCCACCTGTAGACTCCCGCGTGTTCTTGGGTGGGCTGAGCCCGCCCAAGGACTCCCACCTGCGCCGCGTTCTGCACAGTACCTGGGTCCGCAGCCGGTCCACCTCTTCCGACAGGCTCTGCCTCTCCAGGAGAAGCTGGTTCTGCTTGTTGAGGAGCTGCACCAGCTGCTGGGCTGTGGCCTGGCTGTGCTTATCCAGCTGCCTTAGCCTGAAGAAAAATCCACCGCAGAATTAAAGAGGGATAACGTCAGCCTTTCAACAGGCCCAGGGGCTGTGTGTATCTGAGGGAAGCCCCTGCTAGGGAACCATAGGCAGGACGCCTAAGGTGACCCTGAGGTGCCAGGCTCTGGCTAGCAGTGGGCCCTTGGTACGCACTGTGTGAAGGTAACATTCCAGCAAATGTGCGTGGGAACTGGGAGCCATCTCAGTACACTATCAATTAGAAAACACGCAGATAAGTGGGGTAACTAGAAGAAAAAAGGAAACTTTGAACTAACAAGTACAGGTCAAAGATGAGGGCCCAACTGCCGCCATTGTTCAGCTGGAAAGGTCTCTGGCAGGCTGAGCGGACGGCCGCCCCGGCGGGGACGTGGGTGAGGGCCGTGGAAACACTGAAGTAAGGGTTTTCCATTATTAATCACTCAGTCAATCACCAGCTCCGGCATCGCTGACCAGATGTCTTTAAAGATCCTAAATTTGTCATTCTGCTGATGGGCGCTCCTCTCCAGACTTGCTAATTCACTCAGCCCATTATCCTCATCTGTCCACAGTCGGCTTCCTACAGCAGCAGCACACTCACTCACGGAACTGTTGGCTTTGGATTAAACTGGGAATTGAACGACTACCCAGAGTGCTCTGCAAAGCAGCGAGATGTGTGGCCTGCCTCGCGTCCTCACCCGCCACGTTAACTCGGAGTCGCACAAGGAAAAGGCCATGAAAGCTCAAGGTGCATTTCAAACTCCAGGCCAAGGAGCCGAAGACCTCGTGGGCCGTTCTGCGGACACCGGCCTCTGGCTGCCCTCAGTTCGGCTTCTCCTGGGGCTCCGAGCACAACCAAACATTGACGCGGCCACATGTTTGGGCCTTGGGGTTGGGACAGGTTCCTTCACAGAAAAGGCCGCACATGCGGGCACAGGAACCACTGCCCTCTGGGAAACCCGGCGATGGTGGCACCTTCCGCGCAGCGCTGCTCGGCCCACGCCCTCCCATTTCCCCACGGCTACTCCGGCCCTGCCCCACCGCCCTTCTCAGCCTCCGCTGGGCTGGGCTGGAGGCTTTGGTCAAGGGGCCCGAGCCCCCAGCCCTGGCCCTTCCCCAGAACGCACCGTGACTCCCCGTTTTCAGCCATACCCAGCGTTGTCCGGTCTGTGGGGCGCCCTACCTGTGCCGGGGAGCCGGGGGCGGCAGTCTAGGCCCCAGCCCGGGCAGAGCCGGCACTGCGCATGCTCCCAGGAAGCCCCGCCCCCAGGCTGGGCGCCTCCGAGTGGCCACGCCCACAACCCGCACCACCGCCGCCCCTCCCTATCCCGCCAAGGGCCTCCTGCTGCCCGCAGGTTCCGGGGAAAGTGTAAGGACTCAGGGACGCCCTGGCGCCTCTTTCAAGCCTAGACAACAGCCTAGCCCTGCCCTGCCTCCAGGATCAGGCTGGCCTCAACAGAACAGCAAAGATCTTCCATCCAAGTAGAAGTGTTTCCCTGTGTGACATACATACATGGTGATGCTCCAACACCCTACCCCATCCCACCCCATCCCATCCCATCCCATCCCACCTCATCCTACCCCATCCTTCCCTCTGATCTTGGAGGAAAAGTAGGTTTCCTTCTGGCGATACCTAAGGCCACAGCTGCTTTGGGAAGCCTCATCCGCCCCTACCCGTCCCCATCACGCTGGGGCTGAGGCAGCCTTTCCTGGGAGCTACTCTCAAAGCCACCGCACTGGAGCAGATCACAGAGGCTCTCCTGCATGGCCCCGGGAGCCCGGGCTGTCCTTAGCAGCGAGTGGCCGGGAGAGAGGAGGACGTCCCGGGCCAGCGGGCTGGGGAACCTGCCTAGGCCGACCCTCTGACACAGGCAGGCGGCCACGATTCATCTGAGCACCTGCCCTGCTGTGGGGCCCAGGAGTGGGTCCCGTTGAAGAGACAGAGATGGTAACAGCTCTTTTCCTTGAGAAGCAGACAATCCGATGCTTCTGTATTTAAATCAGCAGGTGAAAAGCATCATTAGCCCTTGAGCTCTAGAACCCTAAGGTGGCTTTTCCCCTCCGATGAAGGCCTACCTGTGGAGAGAGCCACTGGCTAAGAGCAACTGAGGTGGTAGCCCCATGGCTTCCTGCTTGCTTGAAAATAATGGAACAGAAACGTGACAAATGACACCACGACATGACTGCATAGCAAGAAGGTGCCGCGAGCAGCCACTGTCCATGTGGTCCCTTGCCCTGTGCTAGGATCAAATGGGATGATGGTCCTTTGGACTAATGGGTTCGGTATGTGGTTTTGAACTCCTGAAAAGGGATGGCAGCCCATCCAGGGCAATGGGCAGGGCCAGAGCCGCTCTCACAGCATAAACGCCGGGCATGGCAGGCCACCCTGGCTCCACCTTCAGCGACCGGGGTTCTAGGCCGGTTCCGGCCTAGACCTTCCTCCTGTGGAGCCCTCAGAACCTGGAGGAGGCTTAGTCCAGAGTGCTTTGCAACCTGGGGCCCTGGGAAAGCTATAGAGATTACTGGGGTGGGGAGGAGGAAGGAGACACCACCCAGACCCGCTGAATCAAGTGCCTGGGTGTGAGCCCCGCAGGACAGCAGGGGACCAGCTGACCAGGTTTCCACAGAAGCACCCCTGCTGTGAGGAGTGAGATCCCTGAGGAGGGACAGCCCTCCCTTCACAGCTAAGAGCTGAGGATGGATTCCCATTGACTCCATTTTTAAACCAACTTGAAGACTCCCTATATTACAAATACTGGGAAAAGAGATTTTCTTTTCTTTTTTTTTTTTTTTTTGGAGACAGAGGTGTGCTCTTGTTGCCTAGGCTGGAGTACAATGGCGCGATCACGGCTTACTGCAACCTCCTCCTGGGTTCAAGCAATTCCCCTGTCTCAGTGTCCCCAGTAGCTGAGACTACAGAAATCCACCACCACGCTCAGCTAATTTTGTATTTTTAGTAGAGATGGGGTTTCTTCATGTTGGTCAGGCTGGTCTTGAACTCCCCCGCCTCGGCCTCCCAAAGTGCTGGGATTACAGGCGTGAGCCACCGCACCCGGCCCGAGATTTTTTTTTTTTTTTTTTAATGGAGTCTCACTCTGTCACTCAGGCTGGGGTACAGTGGCTCGATCTTGGCTCACTGCAACCTATGCGGCCCTGGTTCAAGCGATTCTCCTGCCTCAGTCTCCCAAGTAGCTGGGATTATAGGCTTCTGCCACCGTGCCCAGCTAATTTTTGTATTTTTAGTAGAGACGGGGTTTCACCATCTTGGCCAGGCTGGTCTTGAACTCCTGACCTTGTGCTCCACCCACCTCAGCCTCCCTGAGTGCTGGGATTAAAGGTGTGAGCCACCGCACCCGGGGGAGATTTTTTTAAAGTTGTTTATTTTTGGAAGAGCCTCCAACCCTGCACAAACCAGCCTACCCCTCTGTTAATGGATGTCTCATTGCCGTCATTCAGAAGAGATTGCTTGGGGTGTCCTAGACACTTAGGCTCTCTTTTCTTTTCTATGGTGGTTACTGCTCTCTCATATTCGTGGTCCTGAGTTCACCTCTTCATCCACCCACAGTTTCAAATAGCACCTCTGATGACTGCTAACACCTACTGAGCCCCTGGGCTCACTGCGCCACAATTACCTATGTAAATTTAATTGATTAATCAATAAACTACCTATTACATTCAATAATTATCTTAATTAAAAGTTCACTACAGTCCTGGGAGGTACATGCTAGTATCATCCCCATTTTACAGATGAGAAAACAAGCTGAGATGTTGATTAACTTGCACAAAGTCACACAAGTAATCGGTAGAGCTTGGAGTCAAATCCAGCCAGTGCCCAGGTGTCCTTAACCATTGTTAATGGTGGTTAACTCACTTAATTCACTAAATGAACCAACCCTTGGTAAACACCTTGTTTTGTTTTGTTTTGAGATGGAGTCTGGCTCTGTCACCCAGGCTGGAGTGCAGTGGCATAATTTTGACTCACTGCAACCTCTGCCTCCCGGGTTCAAGCAATTCTCCTGCCTCAGTCTCCCAAGTAGCTGGGACAACAGGTGCATGCCACCACACCCGTCTAATTTTTATATTTTTAGTAGGGACGGGGGTTTCACTATGATGGCCAGGCTGGTCTCGAACTCCTGACCTCATGATCCGCCCACTTCAGCCTCCCAAAGTGCTGGGATGGCAGGCATGAGCCACCGCACCCAGCCAACACCTCTTAAGGGTCAAGTACTAATTTAGGTCCTGGGAGTCCATCAAGAATGACAAATGCTCCCAGCTCTCGGACAGTTCCTGGCCAATGGAGGAGACTCACTTGTAAAAAAACATGCTCAACTCAAACAGGACACTGAGGCATGAAGAGAAATGGCCAATATTGCAGATGAGAAGCCTGGGAGGGCTTGCGCCTGCTTAGACGTGGCTCATCATCATCATATGCTGAGCATTTACTATGTCGGGCACTGGACTTACTGTTTGGCACTCACAATTCCATGAGGCAGGAACTAATTATTATGCCACTTTAAGGATGAGGAAACAGAGGCACAGGCAACATGAATTATTCATTCAAAGTCACTCAGCGGGCAAGCTGGGATGGGAAAGGATGAGTGGGTGCCGTTCTGGCCAGGGCCAGGGTCGGGGCCTTCCCACGTGGGGCCGGCAGTGCAAAGGCCACTGCCTATCTGGAAACTGCAAGCTGTGCAGTGTGGCTGGACCAGAGGCTGCAGGCTGCTCAGAGGGAGGTGACGCTGGACTCTGTAGCCAAAAAAGTATGGACTTCGTCCTGCAGGCAATGGCAGTGCCATTTACCAGACAGAGGATGGCAGGAGGGACCGGCCTGGAGTAGAAGAGAAGTTCTGGGGTCAGGGCGAGTCCGAGGTACCTGTGGAACACGCTCCCACCAGGCAGTTATGCAGCTTGGGGCTTAGGAGGGCCGAGCTGGAGCTCTAGCGGAATGGGCCAAACCTGCTGGGAGGCGAGGCCATGAACGCGGGGGCAAGATTTGCCTGGGAAGGGTTG